AGAACACATATTTACGTATCATTATTTCTTGATTATACTCTGTCCCATCGATAGATAAATAAGAACAATAGGCCACATCTTACAATAAATAACAAGCTCTTATTATTAATTAAAATATTAAATTACAATATGTCAGTTATAATGTGTGCAGTATTGATAATTAGAATTGAACAATGATAATCGTTTCAGACAACTGTTATTTACACATAAATAAAAATAAGTTATGCATAATCGCAGCTAAGGACTAACGTAACTTATCCCAACAAGGATATACACATCAAGGGGTGGTTTCAAACAGTAAGCACGCAAAGAGTAAGGCATAATAAGATTATGAAAAATTGTATGATGGTACCCAAACCAAGGGAGGGATGAACAAATTAGAATCCTCAAAATTTAAGGTTGGCAACACTGTACTGTTTAACAATGCATTATGCTAAATTATTGGTTTTGGTTCCACAGGCAATTACAGTAAAAGTTTTTTTTTTTTTTTGAGGGCGTTTTGTTTATTTAAATCATATTAAATAAAAATGGAAATTATTTTCACCAAAACTGACTAGCTCCACTCTCTCGAGTTTGACATATGACGTAAAAGTGTAATACAAACATTGCGTTCGGTCTGCCAAGTTCCTTTAACCCCTTTTACACTTTTTACTCCAAACGACCCTTTTAGCGTTCGGTTTAGTCCGATTAGTGACAGTTTAACACGCTTAAATGTCATTTAAAAGCACCCTAAAAAACTCCGCTTTTGTCCCGCTCCAGCCCCTGACTATCCGAACTCGCCTAAAGGTGCGAACACTTCAGAATCGTCGTAGCATCTCCTCTTTATTATATCTCAATGTCTGTAAAGACAGTAAAAACGTAGGTATATGGCAAATATTGTTAAAAGTTTGGTTAGATTTAACTGTCAGTGAAACCAAAATTACACCACACTTCTATTGCGTATACGTCATATTAGTGTGACGTTATAATGGTTACACTGACAGTTAAATTCTAACCAAACTTTTAACAAAAACATCAATAAATTTGACTTCTTAATATTGTTTTCAGGTCATAAAAATAGTTTAAAGATATGTAATTGGTACCTAACTAAACTATACTTTATGCATGTTTATCTACTTACTTTAGGAATATATTTATAAAAGCTCAAAAACTATATAATTTAGGTAAACAAACGAACAAAACGAACTCAAGAAAATATAATTCAAAGATTCTTTTTACCTTATTTGAAATTAGAAAAATTATAATAAATTAGGAACGCACAAGTATCAACCACCATAACTTAACTAAAATTGCCAAAAATTATTGTTGTATTTTTGCAGTTATTTTAACGGTGCCAGCAGCGGTTTTCCCCTAATCATTATTGACATTAAAAATTGGGTACGATAATATTATGTAAATTAATAAGTACAAGAATAATGGTGATTTTTGGTGATGAAATAAACAAGTCCTCTTAACCTTTTCAACTTTTGATACGTTGATGATGATAAATTATTAATACATTTCGTATAAAATTAGAAATTCCATTTATTAATAAATTTCCCACTATGATGTTCCTTCAAAAATCTGCGAAGTTCATATTGTGTATTTCTCTATACAGATATTGAACGGTTTTTGATAAAAAAGGTAATATTAAAATAACAATTTTTATGGAAAATGTAATGTTAAAAGATATGTGAATATATGAAATCGTAAACGCAAAAGTTATAAAATCGTTTCCATCCTCTTCTAAATATTGTTTTATGTGCAGGCGATAGTATTTTTTCTGGCTTTAACAATTGATTGGGGCGGTATCGAATAGAATCTTCTTTAATGGTTTAAGAAGTTTGATAGACCTTTCCTTTAATATAGCCCCGTGTAAAAAATCGAGTGCTGTGAGGTCAGGAGATATTGCGGACAAAAGAAAAGGGCCTCGATTGGCTAATCATCGAAATCAAAAATTATTTATTAAAACTTAACTAACGGGATTTGACTGAGCTTCTTCCAGCAAAAGTATTAAAAGTTATTTGTGCAACTTCATCTTCATTAGAGTACTCATATACCACCGTCGTGTTAAAATATTGGAAATAATTAAATTACGATTCCTAAAATAAGACAAAGGCGGGCGATTGCCCCCCCTCCCCCGGATTTGTAATTTTGAATCTTTCCCGGCGTTTTGACTCTGTCTATTGCTGCGTTTGAAAAGAACCTCGTTTTACTCTTTTTACACATCTGTGGCTACTCGATGGGAACTGCTCCGTGGTCTTTTAATGCAGAGCTGGTAAGTCGAGTAAGATCTATTTACTCCAAATTAAATGTTAGAGCTTTAGGAGTAAATGTAACTTCTGTGACAATTGACAAAGAAAAAAAGCAATTAAAGTTGAAGTCGAAGTTGTAGATGTACTTCTGTGAGATGTACGGACAGTCGTTTGTTGTCGTTTGTGTCGCTGTTTATACTTTTTTATATTATTTACGTATCCTGGTTATAAAGAGCAAAAAATATTTATAAAAAATGTTAGACAGAAATGAGAACATGGTTTATTTTCTAGTGTAAGCAAAAGTCGATAAATGCCACAGCTAAAAGTTAACTTTACTTTGCAACTTACAACAAAAATCACGAGACGAGAGATCAAAAAAAATAAAGGTTTAAATTTATTTTAATGGAAACCGGAAACGGGAAAGACAAACAAATCCATAGCCGTTCTTTTATTCCACATAAGCTCGATTTACTCGATGATCACGTTCCTAAAATCTACTAGCTCTACTCCGCTCCAATAGGTACTTTTCATCATCGTAGTATATAAAACTCACCTCAACCTGGACATTTTTTGAACGGCGCCCATGTTCACACACAATATTTTTTACGTGAGTTTTGACGCTACACGCTTGATTAGAAAACGAAAAAGTTTTTCCTAAAAATTGTAGTTATTTTAATACTTGTTTTTATATCATAAACCGTTTTTAGCCATAGAATATGATGAAATAAAAAATATTGCATCCGTTTTAAAATTAAAAAAAAAATTTTGATTTAACCAGTTTTTTCTCACCCTGTATAATAAAGGAAGTTTTAATGTCATTGAATAATTCTTCTTTATTATAATTCAATTAAAAAACTTTCAAATTTGAACTAACTTTATCTAAAAATAAATACTTTTTTTTAAATATTTTTTCTTATAAATTATTATCAATTTATACACTTTATTATAGAAAGTGACCTAAAAATTTAAAGTTCTATCGGAATCCGGAATAAAAATAGAGGGTTCAATTACTGGTGCCTCAGTATTGCATTCGTGCAGACGAAAAAATTTTCTTTTCCCCATTTTTTAAAACTTTTTTTCATGTTTCCAATCATTCTGAGTCCGAAAATGCAAAAAAAAAACATTTCGTCTGGTCGTCTGTATGTATGTATGTATGTTTGTCGGCACGATAACTCTAGAACGAAAGTTCTGACTTGCGGTTTGGATTTTCTTGAATAATTACTTCTAACTTAGAACCCTATTGATTTTCAGAATTTTCGGTTCATACTAACTACTTTATAATCATTTTTCTTAAAATCCGCATATGCATTTCTTATGTTACAATTTTAGGAATTTCAATTATTTCTAAGTCAACATTCCTAACATTCTTAAAATTCCATAAATTGCAAACATTCTCTAACCACCTGTCAAACAACAGCTGTTGATAGTAAAGGTGAAATTTCTAAGGCGGGTTGCGACCTTCATACTTGCAATCATAGCCATTTTGGGGGCTATTTTTATTCGAAATTAGTAGCCAAGCCTGCCAATTTATGAAAAATACATAAGCAATTTCTCAAAAATTACTTTTTTATGGTGATTCTAACTTAAGCGTACTCCTATTTCTCCCCTAGCCACAAAAACACCTACATCAAATTTATTGACTCTCTGTCGCAACCCCATATAATAATTAACCAGCCATTTTATTTTGCAAAAATCAGACTAATGCTTGGCTGTGTCTGTCAAGTATCAAGATGTCAACTGTGATGTGTGAATGGCTCTTAAATGTCAAATTATTTAAAAATGTATACTTCTTTTGATATTTATTGCAAATAATTTGTAGTATATCTCAATTCAGGCTTTCCATAAAGGTACAGCAAGATAGATAATATAATGTTCTTATACAAAGGTAGGATATAATGCTGGTTTTTTTTGTAGAACATTTTTAATATACGATTTTGGATTACATATTCAACCAGCGAATTGTAAATAATAATTAGTAAACTTCTAGTCATAAATTTCCTCAATAAATAAAATTTAAAAATGAATCTTCTTACCTTGATACCGAGGTAGGTATTTTGTTGTGTTGTTTATTTGAATTATAAATTTGTCATTTATTTGTATGTTGAAAGAAGGCCTTTATAAATTACATTGCTTTCGGTCTTTCGTTCCAAGTTAAATCATTTCTCGTTTTTGTTATGCTACGAGTTTAGCCTTCTGGGCCCCAGTTTCGATAAGGTGGGAACCACCATATTAGCATCTCTCGAATTTAAAATAAGAAAGTTGACATCTACTTTCGGTATAAGCGGAAATGACAGAACTGTCAAAATAATTTAGATGAAAATATCATAACCTGTTTACTATTTTTACATTTTTTTTTTTTTCGAAATCCGTCCATTGCTTTGTCAGATACAGATAGTGTCCCCCGTTGTTGTGCAAGCATGTATTTAGGTACCTACTTATTTAATTTTTATTTTATATTAATTTTATTGTTTCAATAAACTAAAATATTTAAATATCAGTATAGGTAAACCGTAGTCAAAAAATCCCCCATTATAAACAATTCTGATATACAAACTAACCCCCCACTCTCAAAATTTTAATGCACGTTTCCCCCTTCCTCTTTAACTCAAAAATGTATCTATTTCATTCAAAAATAATTATACTGTAGCCATTTTAACACCAGAAGAACCTTGTAATAATACAATTGAAAGATCTTACAAAACTCGCAAATAAAAGAACCCCAAGTAGGTATGAATATTAGAAAACAAAATAAGAAATTAGACTTACCTCTCGAAACAAAATATCCAAGCAGATCCCCGTTCAAGATCTTCTCGAGAGACAGAAAAAAACTTGTCGGCTATGAACCTTGGAACTTTTAATTTTAAAACCGGCTACTTTCAACAAATTATTCAATATTGAAGTGACGTATTATTAATGATCAAAATATTCTTGAGTTTGTGTGGCCATGCGCTACGATTTCAAAATACTAATTGATTTGAATAATTCTCGACCAAGATTCTCTACCAACTTCATTGAAAAAGTTTGTTTGAATGCGCTATTAACACTCTCATGATTGCAGTAAGTGGGGAAGACCCAAGAACATGATGTATTTATCCGAGTGTGCTTTGGTTATTTTACATTTCCATTGAATGTTGTTATGGGATTTTATTATATCATTAATTATAGTACCAATTTTTGAATAATTTTTTCGCATTGTCTGAATTTATTGCCGATGCGAATTTCCGCTAGATAATTAGGTATCACGTACCAATTGATGAGACCTTGGCTCATAAATTTATTATTAAGGAATAATTTTCTTTAGTATGTCGTTTGTGAAATTAGGACAAATTATAAAATTAACACTCAACAATATTTAACAAAAAATACAGCTCATCTGGTCCTGGTGCCACCAAAGGTTACAGACAAATTCACATCTTATCACAGTATAGGTATCAATCAGTAGGTACTTGCACTCTGAGGCGGCGGCACGTTTGATCTTTAAAAGTATAAATTTTAGTTGAAACTTTACGTTTTCAGGACATGAAAAGTTTTTTTTGCACGGACTTGGTTATACCTGGTTAGTTGAATTTTTGTTCTGCTGCTTTTCAAATTCGTGTGTATGAGCGAGATGTGAGATACCTTTAAAGAGACAATGGTTGAACAACTTAACTACTTTGAAGAAGAAAATCGATTATATATCAGGGCAGTCTTCGCAAATGTAAAAAGTACAGAACCTTTTTAAAAAAATTTATATATGTGATTGTGTCAAAAATGTTTGAATTTCGATACTGAAATATTACTTTTTAGTGAAAAGTTTAACTACTTTTAGTTCAAAATATAACGTTAGTTTGTCAAGGGAAATATATATAACATACAAGGTTAGAGTAACAAAATAGAAGTTTTGCTTTAATCTAATCTAAAACTTTTCTAGTATATTGTAGAATTTTATTCTATACGTTATTTAGGTACTGCAAAATATATAGGAATGTATGTAGTTTTAAATATAAAAATTTATAACGGAGACATAATTTACAAATATATACTTAGTTACTTGTTTTTGTTAGTGAGTTCAAGTATGGCAGACGAAAATCGTTACTTTTTAAATATTAAAGTTATGTATATTGGCCATTTACTACACACAGCAAATTCATAGACACAATATGTGTGTCCGTAAAGTATGGAACTAATTCATTTTTAGCTAAACAGACCATTTTAAGAAATAATCCTGAAACACGTCAATTTTTGATTTTAATTTACCGTATTTTAAAATAATAATCTAATATACAGGGTGAATTACTTTCGAGTAATGACGTCACCGTAATTTTTTTTAAATGGAACACCTCCATTTTGTCTCAATTTTCGGATTACTCTAGCTGAGCTGATTCCAAAAATATATCATCACATGTTGATTCCAATTGGTACAGGGTGGACTTGTGGTCTAGCAGAATATGAAAGAAATTATTTCTTATCAATTTTGAAAAAACATAGTCGTCTAGTTTTTTGTGAAATGTCATTATTTGTTTAGTAATTTATTGATGTTCAGTGACAGTTTAGTACTACAATATTTTTGGTATTCGTGAATTTTTTAATTATTGCTTAAATTTAATTTGAATTAGAAATGGAGTTAAGTGTAAAACAAAAAATTGAAATACTTATGGCTTAAAAAATGGCATGCTTATAAAATCAAACTTGTGCAGGAATTAAACGAAGATGATCCCGATAGAAGAATCCAATTTTGCGAAAAAATGATGGATAAATGTCACCGAGACCCTCTCTTGATACAAAACATTATTTTTTCTGATGAGGCCACTTTCCCGTTAAATGGCGAGATTAACCGTCAGAATTGTAGATACTGGGCAAAAGGAAACCCCCACTGGATGTGTGAGCATCATACAAAATACCCGCAAAAGGTAAATGTATGGGCTGGAATTGTAAGAAATCGAATCATCGGACCCTACTTTATCGAAGGTAATTTAAACGGGGCAACGTACCTTGAGTTTTTAAGGGGGTATCTCGTACCTACTTTAGGTAATTTGTTTCCCAGCAGACGTAATCCTGGAGGTTGTGATGAAAGTCTATGGTTTCAACAGGATGGTGCACCTCCACATTATGCTGTAGATGTTAGAAGGTACCTAGATTAAATTTTTCCGAACAGGTAGATTGGTAGACGTGGACCTATCGAATGGCCAGCGAGGTCACCAGATTTCAATCCTTTGGATTATTTTATGTGGGGCCATCTGAAGAATGTTGTGTATCAAACGAAACCAGCAAATATTCAAGAATTAAAAGAGAGAATTCGGACAACAATAAACAATATTTCTCAAGACACAATAAACAAGGTTCAACAAGAATTTGTACACCGTTTGGGTTACTGTCAAATACAGCAAGGGCTGCAGTTTGAACATTTATAAAGTCATGTATTTCATCATATTCTGTCCGCTAGACAATAAGTATTTTTGATAATATTGTTAATTTAACTAATAAAGAATGTTACGCGTTACTTTATGAGCACACACAAAACTATTGTATTTTTGCCCACCCTGTACCAATTGGAATCAACATGTGATACTTTTTTGGAATCAGCTCAGCTAGAGTAATCCGAAAATTGAGACAAAATGAGGGTGTTTCATTTAAAAAAAATGACGGTGACGTCATTACTCGAAAGTAATTCACCCTGTATATTAGATTATTATTTTAAAATACGGTAAATTAAAATCAATAATCGACGTGTTTCAGGATTATTTCTTAAAATGAATTTGTTCCATACTTTACGGACACACTGTATATATCACCATTTGCCATTCTTAATAAACTCACAAATTTAAAATTGACTTTAAACTAAGTGACTACACACAGAATTGTTTGAAAGCAGCCATGAGGTATAATTTATTTATTGGATACTCTAAAAAAAATAATAGTATTTACATGTAGAGGTAAGTAACAAGAAATTTAAAAATAAAACTTTATATCTAGTAAACTTAATTTAGTATAGTCCTTAACTTTCTTAGGCTAACATTAAAGATATCTGTTTGGACCTCGCTAAGAAACTCATTGGTAACAGCCATCATCTTGTTAAAAGGAGATATACTACTTGGATCTAAACTAAATAATTTTTTGTTACTTGGGATTCTTAGATTAATCTTTGCCTCATTAAAATTTATATAGTCAATCAAATCACAATCTTTGTACTTAACATTATTTAAAATAGGATACAAAATATATCTCAGCCTGTTGCTTTCTTCTCTGCAAAAGAGATTTAATCTTAAAGCTATCGAGCATAGTTTTATATGAGATCTTATAAGGGTACGAGTTGTTTTTTATGACATAAAGGTATCGTAAAAATATTTTTTGTACTTTTTCAATATTATCAAGATGTGTGGCTTCCAAGGGCATCCATATTTGTGAAACATACTCAAGATGTGGTCTTACTAAGGCATTATATAATCTGATTTTGGTGGTAATTCTAAAATTTTTTGTATTTCTGATTTAAAAACCCAAAGCTCTTATTACTTTTTTAGTAACGTGTAGGAAATGGTTATTGTACATTGAGTTACACATCTCGCTGGGTTGTCTCTGGTAACATACTCAACCTTCTTCAGACATTCAAGGTTTGATTAAAACCGAAACGTCGGACATGGAATGGAAAGTGTTTTTTTTTAACAATTTACCCTAAACAAAACCAACATAATATCGCCTTAAAATATTCTAAAAATATTCAAAACGTCTGTTTCGTTTAAAAAAAATAAATTTATTTTTTATTGAAATATTTTCTTAATTTGTATTTAGACAAGGAACAATTGAATGGCCAGCACGATCACCGGATCTAATTCCATTAGATTTCTTCTCACGGGGTTACTTAAAATCGAAGGTATACAAAATACAACTTGATTCTATCAACGATTTAAGGGATCGAATTTCACAAGTGTGCACCGCAATAACCCCAGAAATGCTAGACAATATTAAAAGATAATAATTTTCTAATAGACTTTTCTATTGCCAAGAAGTTATGGGAGAACATTTTGAACATATACGTTAAGTGGTTTTTAGATCACTTTTGATATTCTTAATTTATTTATTTTAGTAAATAATGTGTTAATTTAATTTGTAAAAAGCGTTTCCTTTAGTGGTCGGATACTATCGATAGTTTGTTACTATTGAAAACGGTCGATTGTCTTAAGTAAACATCGATAGTTGAAACTCGCATGTTTTTGGTATTTTTCGAGTTCGTTTTCACAGAATTCGATTTAAAATAACTAAAACTAAAATTAAATCAAAGCAAGTGTCTCCTCGAGCTTTCTTGTGTCTCTGCCTCCTGCTTGTGCCGCCACCTATTGTTCTATGAATAAATTAAAGAAACATGCCCATATTATGATCGTATGCAATCACTGGAGATTCCGGGATAAATTAATTCAGTATCATGTGCAACATTGATATAGTTTCGATAGTACTATCGATGGTAACTCTTGAGACTATCGATAGGGCCGACTATCGATAATATTCAACCACTAGTTTCCTTAGTACTAAACAATAATAGTAAAAAATACGAAGGTTATCAATAATGTAACTTACTTTTCATTAATTTATTTGTAATTTCTGTAAAAACATAAAAACCTTTGCATACACGTAGAGATAATGAAAATATCGTTCAAATGAGGTATCACATGAACGTATTATCCATTGGAAATATATTAACGGCCTCTATCTTACGTCTCAAGTGCATATTGTTATAACAAAAATATCATATCTCTAATTTCACCTCGTTATTGTTTCATGTCTCTATCTTCTTCCAATTGTGTATACTGTAAAAAGTGATCAAGTCAAATTTTATGTGATTTGAGTCAATATGACCAACTCACTTGTTAGTCATATCTAAAAAAAAGAAGTCATCTCTCTGTATCTGTAACGTGTAGAGGGTGGGTTACTTCCACGGCATTTAGACGATAAGCACCTCCTAGTTCGTGAGCCAGCCTACAGATTTAATGTAGTTGACAACGTCGCCAAAAAGTGCTTCTCTTATATCGACCGGTGTTAGCCGATGCTCACCGAACACAAATCTCCTAATAAATGAGAGCGTCGATCAATCGTAGAGGATATGCTCGATAGTCTCATCTTCTTGTTAGCACCCTCTACAGAGTGCGGATTCTGACAGCCCCATGATATGGAGATGCTTCCGTACTTGGCAATGACCAGTCAGAATGCCTGTGACTAGGCACAGATTCTGTCTAGTCATAGTCAAGTATTTATTTGCTGCAGTGTTGTCAGGATAACTTAAAAGCTCCCTAACAACTCCGCAGTTTTTTGTTTCATCCCATATTTCCTTGAATTTCACAGAATGTTTTTAGTTAGGTCTGTCACTACCGATTTTGTCAGACCAATAGAAGGGCCAGGTCCAAAAAGTATTTGCTTTCTTGGCCAGTGAATCAGCAAGACGCAGCGTTGCTCTAGTATCAGTGTTAAAGTACTGAAATCAGTGATTTTTTGCCATTATCAGTACCTCAGTGCTACTTTTTATACTTCATTACCTTTTTCTGTTCAAGGCAAGTGGCAAAGTTAAGGATTGTTCTTTTTTTACTCTCAGTAAAAGAACTTACTCTACATGCTTTGCTCCTCTATAAATGTCATGATTCATTGTTGTTTGTAATTTACAAAATCATTTGTGTGCAATCTGCTTGACTTACAGAGTTTAGAGATATCTATTATATTATAGATGTAAGAATAGGAATTATGAGAAGTAAAAACACGAAAATATAGTAAATTCAAAACTTAGTATTGTGTACAATATATCCCCTGTAGTAATGTTACTGGGATACAAAAAATGGCTTTAAGTTACGCCTACGCCAGTCACGAAGGATGGATTCTGACGCTAGGTTGCTCAATTTTTGACAATGACAACTGATTTGTGCATTTTGTGATTAATTCCATGTTTCGCGATCATTTAATAGGAGCAACTGTCTGTAGTTTTCATTTTCAGTTAATACCGTTTTCAGTATAACTGCAGTACTTTTATTTTCCTATTGCTGGCAAGACGGTTACCTTTGATCCACCTTAATGTGACCACGTTGTTGATGGATACTTCGGCCAAAACTTCGTGACATTTGTGGTGCCCTAAAGGTCCTCGTAGTACACTAAAACGCCATTTAACAATAAACTACTTATTTTTAACAATCTTTAGAAATCTAATACAAAACAATACAATATTTCACTTCAAATAACTATATCTGTCTGAACTTATTTTTATTCGTGAATCAGGCTGGTCTGGAATTCAACTCAGTGGCGGGTAGATTGTTTGGTCTCCACAACATTCTAGAACTAACCCTGAATAAATTCGTGGTCTGTTCAGGGTAAGTAGTGCTTGAGTGCCTCATACTTTGATTACTATACGATGAAAGAGAGAGGTCCCACACGCCCAACATAGAGCGTGGCCATTTTGATGCCTCTGCCACATTTTATAGCTTATGAATCAGTTCGCTCACTCTGCGTCGGCACTTTTAATCTCAATGTTCCAGTTTATGCACTGCGCAACTTGGATAATACAATATATGACAACCGCATATATTCAAACAGCAGTCTTCTGCGCATCTTGAATTTGTATCCCTGAAGTGGATGTTATTTTGGAACTTTCAACTGGTCCGAGTGAGCTAACTGATTCTTTAGCAATAAACTGTGCCTTTACTACTAGGTTAGGCAACACATATATTTCCTAAATGTTAAACTGGTAGTCTAAACATCCTGGTATTTAGACAATGAAAAGAGAACAAAGCACTAAAAATTAACATACAATCACCAATTAATTAAAAATAATCGTGTAAAGCACGTCTAAAACACAAAATGATATATAAATCCTCAAAACTTGTTCATTGGGGTTAATGTAACTGACAGCAGCAAGCAAAATATTAAAAATATTGCGCCAAGATGTAGGCAACACGTAATAAGGCATCAAAATGGCGGAGTTTTTTATCTTCTTCTAAAAGGCACTTAGAAAGCTGCGCAGTGCGACCATTCTCCGTTTAGTAAGAGAAAATCAAAGTATGTGTTGTGTGGAATCTGTATAGATAAGCATGTTCCTTCCAGTGATAAGAATAAGTCATATTGATTGTGTTTATTTAGTACTTTTTTTTTAGATCTAACTTTAACAAGTGACCTGGTCATATTAACTCAAATCACAAAATTTGAGTTGATCACTTTTCTCAGTATAAGTCCAAGATACATACTTATTGAATTTTACTTTAAAAACTGTGAACTGTGTAAGATGAAACTTTTAGGAATGAATTTAAACCAAATTAAAAAGTTAAAACATTTATTAAAAACCAACGTTAAATAAAAACAATATAAAATAAAACAAAACAGCCCATATGGAAATACATAAAATCAAAACTTATTTATGGTTATGGGAAGAAACGACAACACCGTTTGAAAGTCTTCTGAAAGGAGGTCTAAGAGGTTCCACCCATTTACCTAACGGGCAGTACTTTTTCGTATGAGCTTTATCTCCAGTACCTCCACAAAAGCAGCATACATATTTTCTTAGTATCGGACAAGTGGGTATTCCACTGTTACCCTTGGTGTCATGCGATTTATAAACCGAAGCGGGCTCTCCGTTTTTAAAACAAAATTTGCAGAAGGTTTTTTGTAAAGGATGTACATTTTCCTGAAAATAAAAAATATTAAATTTTAATAACTATAAATTATCCACGATTCCCTTAAATTAAAGAGAATACACTAGAAAAATAGCATCAGTTTATCTGAACACAGTTAATAAATTAATAAAGTATTCGGCACAATAAGTCGTGAAAAAAAATTAGATAATTGGGACATTTTTGAATGTATAAATGTTGTTTATTGCATTTTATATGAACAGTACATCAATTCTAGTAAAATATAATTAACTAAACTACGTGTAATTAACTTTTTAAAAAAGTTATGTTATAAAAATTCAAAGTGTCTGTCTTTAATAAATGTTTTAACAAAAACCCAAACCTGAATTTTTTACTGTTCTACACAATTTGGTTAAAACGTTTGATAAATATTCGTGATTAATCGCATTATTACGGACGTGATTCGAGCTACTTGAAAAAGGCATTGCATTTCAGTTTTTAATGTAATAAAGAACTTTGATGGACCGTAATCCATCCAAATATGGGTCCTTTTCAATAACTTTTTAATTTGGGTGATCTTGACGATTACACCTATATCTCTCAAGATATTTAGCAAAATGTTTGCAAAGATTTATAGTTTGGTACCTGGCCGACTATGATAAAAACAAAAATTCACAAATAGTTTATGTCTTATACCTACATTTTTTTGTTTTTTAAACATGCAATTTCATACCTCCGTCACGCGTCACGATTGCTATATCCTATGTTTGTACCTTTGTCATTTAATATACAGGCAATATATAATGTTTGTCGCTATTTTTCATAATCTGCCATATTTTAACTGTCAATATAATGATAAAATGCAACAATAAATCGACTATACATGTTACTAAATTTTGAATATTGGTTGTCATGCTGCATGTGCCCGATCTCCGTCACACCAACTTTAAGTTGAACAAGTGACCATCAGATGGCGTTATTTGCGAATAAAATAAGTCTGATTTTGTTGCTGGGCCTCAGTGCATTCATCTCAAGCAGTAATTGTGAAGGCAGTAGTATTTTATTGTACGATTCTTTAATAAAATATTTTGGCAGGCTTTTTTTCTCTTCTGATTTCCGTCCCATAGGATATTTATTTTAAAACAGCAAATAGCGTTTTTATTTAAATATCTTTAAAAAGTATACCCTGGCCAATGTTTACATTTCTAACCTAATTGTTTAATATAGCACGTGCAAGAATTCAGAAGATCTCGTCACGCTGACATTAATACGTGACGGAGAATTTGGGCGAATGTAATTTCGGCCGGAAAAAGGACAGGTACCTAAAGGGGATATGTAATTTCGGCCGGAGGTTTAAGGGTTCGTTCTTATCGTATAGGTATTTTCGGCCGGAAGGAACAGGTAAAATAAAATAAGATCTAGAATTGTTATAACATTCTTTATTAAACCAAAATCAAAGACACTATTACTTAAAAACTAGAGCTAAAAACATACATTACATTTTTACGAACTTTGATATGATACAGTTTTAACAAAATTAAATCTAGAAATTTTTCCAGACCGAAGCATATTTACCATATTTTCAATAAATTTTAATTTATTTCTGACTTGCTTGTCTTTTATTTTTGCTGTAATATTTAAACTTTTTATTTTTAAATATGAATCGATCTGGAATTCTTTTAACTTTTCTATAAAAATAAATATTGAAGGGTGGCAAGAATAAAATGAAGAATTTAATTTAGAATGGAACGAATCACAAGCGTTTGTGGTTCGTTTTATAGATGGATTTTCGTCTGCCCATATATTTGGTGGAAAATCGGAATCAGGTGCTATTTAATATTGTAATACGATAGTCTGCGTATTTATCCAACAGTTCATTATTTGGTTTGCAAGACATTAAATCAAATATAAAACAATCCTCAACATCAGATGGTTTTAAATAAGTAAGCCCAAAAGTGTGAATAAGCCATTTACTTTCTTCAGAGTTTTTGTCTTTATATATTTGACTTAACCCTAAAGACTGAATTTCCCTGTACCACGCTTGATGTAAGTGACATCTACGACCATTTATTTTCGTTTTTGACAAAACATTTCTTAGTGCGATATGTATTGATATTTCAAAATCTACGAATGCCTCCATCGGTTCAAAAACTATATTAAAAACTTCCAAAATTTTAGATTTAAGCAACAGAAAAAGTTTAATATATGTGTCAGCAGTCTTATTTGGTAACAGACAATATAAAAGTGGTATATAGGCCATGAATGGTAAATAATTGATAAAAATATTTCGTACAAAAAGAAAATGTGCCATCCATATATATAACATTCATTTTACACAACGTAGTAATATTTGTTTGGCAAGAAAAAACAATGATATTATCAATTGAACTGTTAATAAACAAAAAATTTTCACCTGTTGTACACATTTCTTGTGAGATTTACATCCGCGGTAATCAATTCGTCCGGTAAATTTGTTGAAAGGACCCTTTTTATAATTTTCGAAGGTTTCTCCGATATGTCCTCCTGGGCTTTTCGCTTGCATGCATTTGTGACAATTTTTCTCTGCAAAGAACGTTGATCTGGTTCATGATTGTGAGTTAACTCCTGGTCACAATATATTCGGCACCAACAGTATACAATTTAGCTAAACATTTTAAATTTGTCCTGATGCACCTCCAACGCACTTCCCCACTCTTTAATAAGTCTTGTTTACAAAATAAAAATTTTTCTACAATAAGCAAGTCACAACCGCGTGAACTCTTTACTATCGAAACTGCCATCATGTAATATAGATGTTTTCTATCTCTTGGTCGCCCACAAAATAAGTGGTTAGTATCTTAATATTAAAAGGTCCGGTACTTTGTTATTAGGTAATCACATTGTTAAACTAATAAAAATCAAATTAAGAAAGATGAATGTAAATGTTTTAACTTTTCTAAGAAATGGAAATATGAAAAGGATAGATTATTATTTTGTAATTAGGTAATCACATTGTTAAACTAATGAAAATCAAATTAAGAAAGATGAATGTAAATGTTTTAACTTTTCTAAGGAATGGAAATATGAAAAGGGTAGATTATTATTTTCAGGTATATTCCAAAATCCTATCATAAACATTACCCTCGGCTGAAATTACCTATGCCATTAGATGGGCACTTTGCTTTTGGCAGGTAGGCGAGGGGATTACCGGCCGAAATTACGCCCGCCGGAGAATTTATTCAAACTGTTTCATTTCAAAAAATTAGAATGATATTGTTATATTATTTATTGTTTATCTGGTCAAAATGAATTTCAAACAGTGATCGAAAGTAAAAGAGATTTACTTTCAGTTAATATGGAGGAAAACTCTTCGGTATGCATTTCCCTGAAAATTAGTTCAGATGATGTAACGCTAACAATTAGCCCAAATAAAGATAATGAAAGCGAAAAAATTGCTTTATTAAAGAAAATGTTAAAAGATATGAAGGAGAGTGCGTTAGAACAAGTAAAAGATAAAAAAATACCTTCAAAATTAAGTTAGGTACGTGACATAACTAACAAAGAAATATCCAAGTTAAAATCAGATAACTTGGCGAAAGCCAAATTAAAAGATTTTGAAAAAATATTGCCATCGACATCTAAAACCACAGAATCTAATGTTAAAATGTTTAAAAAAATTAGTGTATTTTCTTGCGAATTTTTCTTTACATTTCATATTTCCGACACATGATCATATCTCCGCCACTCTTTCATATTTCCGTCCTACTAAGGCACTTGGAGTTAAAATTTTTCAATTTAACGTACTATTTTAGAGTTATTTAACTGATTTATGCAATTTCTATAGGCTACTTTACATTTTTTTACTAAAAAAAAAAAGAAAAATTCTATTTTTTATCTTTTTTAATAAATTTGTAAATTTTCTCTCTCTAAATTTACTTAGATTGTAGTAGCACATTTTGTTGATGTATTTTTAAAAGATGATGGTACTTACTTTAGAAAAACATTACAACAATAATAAATTTAAACGTTATCTAATTTTTTTTTGTAGATTTGTATGTGCGACGGAAATCTTAAAATATATAAGACACATTTCTACAGAAAAAAAAAAAGGATATGAATATTTTCAATAACCAAGGCTCAAACCATGCAAGTATTTCAAGCATGTAACAATATAAAAAGGATGATATTAAACTGAAAACTTAAGGTAAGATTTTCAAAATCACTTATAGTGCAAATTAAAAGGTTATTGAAAAGGACCCACATATTCCGATATGTTATGGCTTCAATCAGACTAGTTAAAAAAATTATATTAAAAATACTGATAAATAAAATAGGAGATATTGTCCGTATTGTATTTAATACATTCATTTCAGTTATTTTTCGATATTTTAGCTTTTTTTTAAATACAAATTATTACTAACCTTATCTTTTTCAGAATTTGATGTTTGAGTAGATCCATCGTTATGAGGTACATTAAAATTCAACTTTCTTTTAGGAGTTGAAGTGCTGGCGGAAGCTAAATCGTTTGAAAATGAAGAGTATATTTTCGGTATATCTTTATGTTGAGAATCAGATTCTGTTAAACCAGTTCCAGTTATCTTATTAGAAGAAACATTAAACTGTGACATATTGCGCAAAATAACGTTTACGAAGTTGGATACTTCTTCTTTGGATGACGTCATTGATCCGGAACTGCTAGAACTCCATGTCATTGTAGTACCACTGTTTAATTTTGATGACTGATAAATTATGCCTGAAATTTTAAAATGGGATAGAATAGTTTCACAGTAAAGTAGTAGGTTGTATCTAGATTTATGTTTTATGCTTTATTATTTATTATTAATAATTGTATTGTATCAATAATTTAAGATATATTAAAGTGAATATAGGTTACAGTCAAATTGGGTAACTTTGGACCAATGGGGCAACAGACCAGACCATAAATTTTATTTACTGTTATCGTCTAAAAAGGAAAGATATTCTAATATTTACACTAGGACCCATAGCTAATTACAACTACAACCTTGTCTGTCAAAAAAAATAAAAACTTAAATACAAATTAATTATAACTAGTAACTGACCTGGGGTATCTACATTAAAACTAATATGGTTTAATCTTACCCGTAGCCTTTAAACTGTAAGAAATCATTAATTTATCTCGATGAAAATACTTTGGTCAATGTTTCCCCAAATTCAATATAACTTTGGACCACACCCTACATATATTTTTATTGAATTTACAATACATTTTAATTTTTTAAATTTAAAATTAATATTGATCATTTTACAGGAACACCAGTAGGTGCCTCATTCAATATAATTGTGCAACAATAACAAATAAATTTAGATTTATAATAAAACCTGGTCAAAAGTTACTCGATTTGACTGTAATTTAATTTGTTTTTAATTCTATTTTAAATATTTGTATGTAGAAATGAAGAATGAATATATACCAAGCCTATTGATTCTGAAAAATCTCATAAAAGATAGGGGGTTAAAGGGGGTCTGTTAAACTGTGTAGAGTATAATATAGAATGTCAAATATTATACAGGATGTTTCAGAATAAAGTACCGTAAATAGGGGGACTTGTAGATCATAAATAACTAATTATTAAGAAAAGTTAAATATAGTTGCCCCAGTTTTCAATCTACAGGGAGACAAAGTGAATTTCATATACATTATTTCCCAAAAATCTTCTCCTACGGTAAAGATTTTAACTTAAAATTATTTTTTAATTTAAAAATAGTTTATTTATTTATAATTTATTTACACCAATTTTTAATTAATTTATTTCTTAAACACTATTACAATTTATTTGGATTTAAACACTATTATAATTTATTTAACAATTTACTTAAACTTAATTTATAACACATTTACTTTATCGAGGTTCTCACTGCTATGACTCGACTTCGACTGATTGACTTCCTGTGCACCACAGTCCATTTATATATAAATTGGTGTATGCGCTAGATTGTTCTCGTAATTTATTAGACAGGCACCTCTAGCAGTTTCTCGAATTTACTTCTAGTAATTTCCCTAATATTCATAATGGCTATATGTGACCACAGGCGTCTCTATAGTTGGGTAAAGGGGGTTTATCCCCTTCATCAAATATTTCTTGTTTTAAGGACAAGTGGAATCGTAACAAGGCCCAAACAAGGCAGAGGGACCCAAAGAATCACAGCATGACCAGATTTGTCGAAAATGGCTCACATTACAATATGTACATGTTAGTTAATTAGCGTTATTACTTAAAACAACTTATTTCAATAAATTACGATAATTTTAATCCAACTTTTTGAACATCCTATATTTCATAAAAGTTGAGATTAATACTTGTTCCTCACGCAATTTGTCACAAAAAAGACTCTTGGTTGATCTCTGGAGACCATTATTTCATTTCCGAGATTTTTCAGTTTTAATCCTACTCAAACATGAAATCTATGTACAATTTTGTCAAGATTCGATTTCATAATATTTAAAATTCCATTAACTAATGGGACTAAGATCTTATGGACTTGATGGTCCCATTGGTTAATGGACCTTTCAATATTGATTATGAAATGGACCATTAATAATTTACATTTTTGGAATTTCATAATGTACATTGCTTTCATGTGTTAGTAGGGCTAATACTGAAAAATCTCGTAAATGGAATGTATTACAAAGATCAACCAAAAAATAACGAGAGGAATAATTATTAATCTTAACCTTTATGAAATATGGGGTGATCAAAAAGTTTGGATCAAAATTGTTTTCTTATTCCTTGATTCTACGCCAATTAGGTTATCGTAATTTATCAAAATAAAGTTTATTAATATATAGGCTTGCCAGATTTCCGAAAGTGAAAAGCGTGACAACCGTGACGACAGAGCATTAGGTTCAAACACCAAGCATTTTAATATAATCAGGTCCATTTTTTGTGAAAATTTCTAGAGTAAAAACGAGGGTCTTTTACCCGGACATTTGTATTTTCGTACTGTGGCGTTGCGCGTACAAGCAAGTCAAAAAGCGTGGCAAATACGCCAAAAGCGTGACGTCCGGCAACCCCATATATTATAAGCAATGGTGATTAACTAAAAAATCATATCTCTACCGTATAAGAAGATATTTAGAAAATTAAGAACTTATAAAATTCACTTCATCATCCTGTAGAATGAAAACTGGCACGTTTACAGGAAAATTATATTTAGCTTTTTTTTAATAATTTGTTAAGATCTACAATTTCCCCAGTTTACGTTACTTTATTCCGAAACACCCTGTATATATTTTAAGATGGTTTCATTAAATTAATAATAAAACTATTTTTCAATATGTAACAGTTTTATGTTTTAAATCCCGCTGGAGGGCACTAAAATCAAAAGCAACTCAATAAACAAATATATTGCCTGAATTTTCTATAAAATTACTAATAAAAGCTCAGTGCCTTTGTTTCTGAGTTTCTGGGAGAGGGGGTCAAGTTATCGTTGATACACCCTGTATTTAAAAAACAGAGGAACCATTGATAGCGAATGAAACTTGACATTTGTTTTTATAATAATTATAATTTTGAGTTTTTTATGTTTAATTTATAATAATAGTTTTAAGAAAATTTATGTTATTAGTTATTCAGTTTTAAACTGAAAATACCCATTGACTCAAACTTCTATTTATTATATATAATCTATATCTATAATCACATTTTGGTTGATTTTGAACAGCAAGCAAAACAGTTTTCTGACCCTTACATAGGGTACCTACCTATCCTATCTGACACTTATTAAGTTATTATTAACAAAAAGTATTAATTAAATTTCATAAACATGTTTTGCATTTTCATTCAGTTATGGACTACTGATGGGACACCCTGTATCTGTATAATAGGCTATTATTCAGGTATCATTGGATAGGTATAAATTCATAACGAATTCAATGCGCTAGTTCAGTGATGATGAAATTATGGTTCCACTGACAATTAAAGTGACAGTAGATTTTTTGAGTGCGTTAATAATTTCGATTTTTGTAATGGAACTTTAAGAAATAATTTTTTTTTATTTTTTCAATTTTTTTTTTTCATTACATAAAACTACAAACGATTTAAAAGTACTACAATCATTCTGTATGTTTGTAGTTTTCAGTAATTGCTGTGAAAATTAATAATTTCGATTTTTATAATGGAACTTTACAAAATAAAATATTTTTTTTATTTTTTCAAATTTTTTCTTTCACTACATAAAACTACAAATGATTCCATATACAAATTTAGCAGTTTTAAATAATAATAATATTAAATAGATTTAAAATTATAAATAATTAGTTTTTTTGTAAAAACCTTAAAACTACAAAAAATAAGTCACTACAATCATGTAGGTAGGTACATCGTTTGTAGTTTTAATTCATAAAAATATTTTTTAATTTGATATTAGTCGGGTTCTAAAATGACGGAGGCTAAGACTGGCCCTAAATTTAAAAAATATTCAGTAGTGCAGTAGTGCTGTGCTATCTATCTGTTATGTCTACAATTACAACATATTTATATTTACACCTGGGGACCTATTTTCAAACTATGGCAGTATACTCATTTATCTTAAGATTTCAATGAGAAATGTAATACGTCAACGTGGAAACAGTATTTTTAAACCCAGTAAGAACTCTCTATTTCTTTATTTCGAGATAATTAAAATTCTCACTGGCTCTAAAAATAATATAATTTCACAAAAAAATATTAATTTCTATAGGTAGTATTTTCAAAAATACGCGGGGATAAATATAGTATTATCAGGCCATTCTAAGACTAAAAAGGGTAGGTAGGTATTCAATTTAAAAAATATATTTTTTTTATTTGCCAAGCAAAAGCGTAACATTTTATAGCTAAAAATATTTTATTTGAAGCTTGTTTTGCATGTCTATAACATCAAATTGAAATTTCGATCAATTTCGCACAAATGTCCCTTTTTCAAGTTAAATTATTATTTGTAAAGAAGCAATTATTTTAAACTGCTATAATTACTATATAAAATTAAAAAAACTGTTACAAATACTACCTGTTCAAAAAGCAGCAAGATTAAGCTTTCAGAATAATTTAAAATATAGACGGTCTATATGAAATATGGATTCAAATATAGTTGATCACACTGTATTAGATTAAAAAAGATATTTAGCAAACGTGAAACATTTCTAATTGTGTGCTATTATCGCTATTATTTGGCTAACAATTACAAACAAGATTTAACTACCTATTTTTGTTTTTTTAACCATCAAGTACCTATTTAATTTCAGTATAAATACCTACCTATTTAACTTCGAAATGTAATAATAAAAGTAAAATCAATAAAATACTTACTTTCATTGCTTAAATCAACAAAACTATTATTCGTATTTTGGGAGTTCTGCATATCATCTTCCAATAAAAACCGTAAATTACGTCTAACAAAATCGTCATCAAAACAGCATTCAAAATCTTCTATCATTTTTGTAAATTTTAAAACTATATAAAAAATAAAAAACTAAAATGGTAAGTAAACCGGAGATGCTTCTCGTCAACTAGTTGTTTCAGGAATAAGAAAAATCAGCCCCACAGACAAAATTTATAGGAAAAGAACCCTTTGTCGGCAAAGAGCGGCGTTAAAACAAAGATAAAGCGGCACGATTGTGTTTGCATTTTACACCAGAGGCGGGTGTATGGATTTTTAAAAAGATTTTCTAATAATGCATTTGGTTATTCAGTATATTATTTATTGAATAACAAACATTAAGAAACAATTCAGAATTAATTTACAAAATTTTAAATTATTAATTGATATTTTTCTTTAATTTTTAATATAGATGAGTGGTCCGAAAAAAAATGTTTCTAAAGTAGATCAAGGAAAAACATCACACAGGTCGGAGCAAACAATTCTTCTTGTTTAAATGACAGATTAGATTTAATTCAGAGCGTTTGTAATTATCACGGAAGTGACTCGTATCTCCTTTGTTCGTCATGCCTTTAGTGAGGCCTAAGTGATATGGAGGTAACT